TGATTACTAAACGGTTAATTCAGAGCCATTTGAAGTCTGTGCTTTTCTTCAATCCACACAAATAAACTTGCAACAATTTACAACATTTGTATTGATGGTCCAGTGACAAAAATCTTATATAAACAACATATCTGTTATACAATGGTAAAAAAACAAATCCAATTATACGTCTTGCAAAACCCATTGAAGAAATTGAAGCCAGTACAGTTCAAATGAATAATGTACATTACATTTTTCTGTACTTATTTACATACACAACAGTACTACAGTTTAATCGAAAACTACTGTATTACAATACATGTGACTACGAGTTTCCATGTGATCATTTGTTCTTCAAGTTTTACTATTTTTCTTAAGCAAGGGGAGAAGGAGACCTGCTCTTACTCTTATTCTGGAACCTACAGCACATCTAGCATTAAGTGAATGCATTTTGTGTTTGGGTTGGATAAGACACTTCTGCACTGCCACTGCTCCAGATTACTGCACATGAATAGCATGCAACTACATGTCACATTGTATAACCTCAAAAACTACAAATCCTGCATATTCAATGTGTTGCACCACACTGCTGCAAATTGTCACGGCACAATTAACTATGTATGTCATAATCTAATGCATTCCAGAGGACGTTAGACCTTGACATGAGGGAGTGGGAAACAGAAAGGTAAGGGAGCGATGGGTGAAACCTTGGGTGGAGTAGAAACACCGACTGGCACAGACTAGTTGAGCCGAGTGGCCTGTTTCTGCACTGCACATTGTTTGTAAATCAATCATTTATATCCTTATTCAGCACAGGATCCTAGCAGTAATCTGTCGCTCATAATGTCATAAAAATTCTTGCATTTGATAAAACACAACCTTATCACATTGCCAAGACTTCACAGCAAGTTCTGTAAACTGATAGGACTATTTGCAAACAAGTGCAGCAGCCAATCTGTACACAACCTTAAAAAGATGAGATTTATTGCACTGTTCTGCTGCATATGGCTCATCAAGCTTGTCCCAAAGGGTGTTTTTTTTAAGATCCATTTATAATTTCAAACCATCTTATTCACCAAATCAATTTAAATCCCTTTAGATCTGCTGATACAATCAGTATTGACCACCTCCATTTCACAGATTCACCACTCTCTGTGAAGAAATGATTAATCCTAAACAATCTGTTTCTTCCCTTTTCTGATTACACAATTCTGGGTCTGTAATTAAATGGAAATGTTTAAACCTGCAATTTTGATAATGTCAATCCTTGTATAGAGGAATCTTGCTTCCTCCCCTCATCCCCCCCCCCCCCCCACCCCACCCCCACACTCAATCCTTCTACTGCACATTTGAAAAACATGATCATCGCGGGGCATTGCAAACAAAAATACTCAAGGTAACAATGAGAAGGCAGATTCCTGTGCAAACACCTTTTTGGGGTAGAAAAATCAGTCATGGACTGGATGTAGTTTTAAAAATGAGAATTAATATATCTGGGTTTATACCAACCATTGGAGTTCATTCCAATTATAACAATTGCACCTCCTCAGCTTCGAGACTCCACTGTGATCCCATTCTTATGCAGAACATACAAGAGTGTTAAATTTGCAGGGGAAAATCTTACGGGTTGATCAAAAGGCTTTCAGATTTAGAGACATGTTTATTCATCAACAGAATACGTTCAGAATTTGTGGTGACAAAGGCCAAAAATGACAACTGTTCACTATCAAAGTCAACTTTCTCTTCAGTAGGTCCCTGCCTCATAAATACCCTTCACAACATAGGAAAACATCAACCTATTAAGATAAACTGGAGACATAAGCCTGAATGCTGACATTCGGACATTCGCAAAAACGTATCCAATGCTGGATTCATATTAATGGATAAGCGAGATGTTTATAAACATATATAAATAAATATACACACGCAGCAGTCTATAAAAGAAATCAAGGCATGAAACTAATGTGTGGAAGAACTCCCAATGATTCCCAAAGAGAAAGCAACTTGAGTTGTGGCAGCGCTTTTTTTAAAACAAAGAAACACATAAAAATGTGTGAAAGTATCACCTCACTTTTCTGCCTTCTCTAATCAGTCACAAGTTAACAGCATCAAACAGTACCTCAGTCAAACTCACTTACAAGCCTTTAACCTTTCCCCTTGCCAGAAGTAAGGACATTCATTCATTTAAGAGAATATCTTTTTGGTGAAGCAGACTCGCAGAGTCCCAAATGAGGGCAAAGGGTTAAGAGCCAAGCAGAGGGCAATATTCTTTCTCTCGCTCCCAAAACACACACACAGAATACCAGGCACAAGACGTGGAACTGCAGTCTTTTCTGCTTTTTAACTGGATCAAAGTACGGTCAGGGGGATGTTGATACTTCAGTAAAAATTGCATAAAGCTGATCTGTATCAATCTTATAACTGCATCAGTCGTACATCTGCCCAGGTCCCTTTCAGAAGTTTATATTCTACGCAAGCTTGACATAACTTATACTTTGCATAAGTCGTATGAAATATATGGTCCCAGCGATACAACTTATGTGAGATTTACTGTATATAAGTGTACAGTGGGATAATCACTCCCTCCTCAAGCCAAGTTATGGATTCATTTGAGTATTGTATAGCCTTCTCCAAAAATCAGAACATAAAACACACACAATCTGTCCGGCAAAGTCTACAAACACGCGCACACACACGCAAACCTGCAGTTGGCTTGTTCTAAGACTTCGTGCAAACAACCGCATTCCCACTCAAACTTCACTGCAATAAAAAACAGCCCTCATTCCAACCTCTGCTCATTCCCGCACATCAATACAGGAAAATCCCTCCCCAACCAATAAATAACACAGCATTTCCATTCAGTGCTCAGATCATCCCATTGGGGTTAAAGAAGTCGCTTCAGGGGTTTTGCAGCGAGGGTGGCAGACAGTCAATTCAGAGATCCTTTTTTATGACAGAGCAGCCGGGACGCCTAGGATTTATGAGATAATACCACGATCAAAAGGGCAGGCGACAAAAAAAAAGGAAATGTTTTGCTTCCAACCTCCGTTATTTGTACATTCTTGAACAGTTGCCCACTATTTTTCGGGCTGATCTCACTCACTCACTCACGTAGTTATACTGAGAGTTTCCAGGTTACACACACACATATATACATATATATACACACACACATACACACACACACACATACACACACATATATACACACACACATATACACACACACACATATATACATACACACATATATACACACACATATATATACACACACATATATATACACACACATATATATACACACACATATATATACACACACACAAGGATAGATGTACCTCACATTGATCAGAAAGTGCTCACCTGGACAGGTGGGTGGGAAAGGGAGAGAAATAGATAGAGAGAGAGAGAGAGAGAGAGAAAGAAAGACGGAAGATTGTATCCACTTCTACCTAAAGTTTCGGCAGAGTTCAGTCACTATGTGTCGCTGACAACGTGCGGACTGTGTGAGGACACTTTGCATTCAGGTAAACGTGTTCAACATCGCAGAGAGTCAGAGCTCAGACCCTCTGTATCGTCGACTCCTTTCGAGGTGTAACCGATGATGTTTACATTCCGCATCTGTGCTCGTGTTGAACGTGAGGGGAGGAGGGGAGGGGGGGGGGGGTGAGGGGAGGGGGTGAGGGGAGGGGGGTGAGGGGAGGGGGGAGGGGAGGGGGGGGGGGAGGGGAGGGGAGGGGGGGGAGGGGAGGGGGGGGGGGGGGGGGGGAGGGGGGGGCGAGGGGGTGAGGGGGGGAGGGAGGTGGGGGAGGAGAAGGGGGGGGGGGGGGAGGGGGGGGAGGGAGGGGGGGGGTGAGGGGGGGGGAGGGGGGAGAGTGGGGGAGGAGAAGGGGGTGAGGGGGGAGGGGAGGGGGGTGAGGGGGGGGGGAGGGGAGGGAGGAGGAGGGGGGGTGAGGGGGGGAGGAGGGAGGAGGAGGGGGGAGAGGGGGAGGGAGGGAGGGGAGGGGGGAGAGGGGGGGAAGGAGGAGGGGGGTGGTGAGGGGGAGGAGGGGGTGAGGGGGATGTTTCGGTGCTGTGCGCGCAAAAGAAGTGTTGGATTGCAAAGTAATCTCCACAACACATCTTAAGGCGTTTGAGCAAATAACTGCCGGTGTTGGTGACTGGTGCCATCCACACCTACACCTCCATCTGCCCCCAACACTGCATATCCAGGCGATTCAACAGCCGCCCCTCACCCCCAAACCCCCCCCCCCCCCCCCCACCCCCAAACCCCCCCCCCCCCACCCCCAAAACCCTCCCCCCAAACACCCCCACCCTCCCCCCCCCCACCCCCACCCTCCCCCCACCCCCCAAACCCCCCCCTCCCCACCCACCCCCAAACCCCCACCCCCCCCCACCCCGCCTCCCCCCACCCTCCCCCCCACCCCCTTCCTCAAAGAACACCAAAACATCTGAGGTTTATCATTGGGCTTTAGGGATCTCTGGAGAGGCTCAGGGTCACCGCTCAAAGCAAAGACAACTGTAACACTGGGGGGAAAGAAGAGGAGTTCAGATTGTTCAACAGGTGCAATAAAGAGGGACATACAAACTCCCTCCTTTACCCCCAGACATGACTGCCTTTAACCCCCCACCACACACACACACCCCCCACCCCCCATTTAGGGGGAACACAGTTCAACGCGAGCAGAACAGAGCTCTTTTAACGAGTGCAGCTCAACTCCGGAGCCACAGACAGTCAGTCAGACAGTCAGTCTCCCATCAAGAAGCAAAATGTTAAGTGCATCCCCCGAATGGTTGGACATTTCCCTCGAATGCACAGGGGGTGAGGTGGGGGGTGAGGTGGTGGGGGGTGAGGTGGGGGGGGGGGAGAAAAGAATAAATCACTATATGCACGGAAGGCATACATATCCCCCAAATAAAGATGGGTTTGACTCCTACCCTGAGAGCTGCAGCCCTGACCACACACACACACACACACACACAGAGAGAGAGAGAGACGCTGTGCTGTGTATACTCACAGGATGGTGGTCTGCGGGGACACGGCAGGTATGTGCTCCAGCGTTAAGTGCATACATCTCACCGTGGTGCGGAAACAAAGGCACCGGCTCGGGCAGCAACCGGCCCTCTGCGGGACAGCAACCAGCAGCAGCCACGCCACCGACAGCCAGGAGCCGCTTTTGCAGAGCATCGTCGCCACTCTCTCGCCTTCTCTCTCTCTCTCTCTCACACTCACTCACTCTCTCTCTCCTCTCACTCTCTCCGCCGTTCACTGCGCACAGAGCGTTCCCTCCCGGCCAACCTAACATGACACCCCCCGCCCCCACCCCCCTCCCATTGTGACGCGCGACGATTGACGCCGGCCTCGGCCACACAGCGGCGGCCGGCGCCGCCCGAGTGGAACGCCTGTCGCGCGGCCCGGCCAATCGGAGCGCCGCGCAGGTTAGGTTGCGCCCCGTCGCCCCCGCCCCGCCCCCCTCTCTCTCTCGCTGGGGTTGGTGATTGACGGGTGGGCGGGGCCCGGTGGGCGGGGTCTCCCTGGTGTGTGGATCAGACTGGGGGTTTGGTTTGGTGGTCAGTTGTGTGGGTTTCTCTTGGCTGCAATTGGGGTTAGGATCTGTGTGTGTGTGTGTTCCCCCCCCACACACACACACACACACACACACACGGTGCAATCCTGCAAGGAGTCAGCCGTCCTGGCTGAAGCAGCTCAGCTGTGGTGCGCTGAGATCTATAATCATAATAATAATAATAATAATCCTTGCATTTGATATAGCGCTTTTCACGTCGGGAGGACGTCCCAAAGCGCTTCACAGAACACACTGTAAAGTGAATTGACTGTATATTTGTGGGCGAACGCGGCAGCCAATTGCGCACAGCAATGTCCCACAAAGTCGTAGATTAAAAATGACCAATTTTATTATTGTTTTTAGTTTTGGAGGGATTATTATTAGGCTCTGTGTGGAGTAAGGAAACTTGCCCAAGGTTTCGCCCTCTGCCTGGAATTGAACTCAGGTCTCTCACTTGCAAAGCGAGTGCTCTAACCACTGAGCTACAGGACTCCACGATAATCATCCTATAATAATAATCCTTGCGTTTGCTGCTGCGCTTCTTTGGTGCCTTTCTAGCCGTCTCAAAGCGCTTCACAGGATATACTATAAAGTGGATTGCCTGTGTACTTGTGGGCAAAATCTAATCCATCTCCAGGCTGCCCGGCTTTGGTATTGTGTGGTACACCAGAAATGGGATACCGGACACTGCTGACATGGACCATTATTTTTTGATATGTGCCTAAACCCATCACTTGTACTTGGGTATCAAAGCCAGACTATTGAGAGTTCCACAATATGTATGGAAGCTTCTCTGTCTGGAGTGGAGTGCATTATTTCCCTAGAGTAACGCCTCTAGGTTTACCCTAAACCCAGAAAGCATCAGTTGCAAGTTGGCATAACCAATGCACGAGGACGACAGGGGGTGCTGCTGGAGTTTAACTCAAATTAGCTCAAATTAATCCTTGTGTGGCATGCGTCGCCCTGCTTTCCGGCTCGGAACCTGTCACTCAGTTGTTTACAGCTTCAGTTACAGAGTGGTTTGGTTTAGTGCTATTTTGTTCACTTGGATCTGCAGACTGTAATAAGTTGCCTTTAAATCTTGGGGTTGGGAGTGCCAAGGGTGCAAGTTAATCCATCACAAGTCTTGTCTAAATTGTTGCCAGTTCTGAGTATGATTTTTGAAATTAGGATTCCATGTAAATTATGTAGACATTAAAGGACAGAAACAGGCCATCCCCACCTAATCCATGCCGGTGTTTTTACTCCACATGAGCCTCCACCCCTTCTTAACCCTCCCATAACCTTCTCTTTCCTTCTCTGTCAGATATGAGGGGAATTAATTCTTTGTTTGTTTTTAAAACATAAATATATTTCTTTTGCCTGTAAATTATCTAAAGGACTTGTGTATGTTTGTTCTTTTTGATTGTTCTTCATCTTTGACCAGAAGTGGTCCATTGATGTCATTGGTTGAAGTTCCCCTTAACATAAAATGCACCATTTCCTGAATGGAAAAAAAGCAAATATTTTCTCACATTTCAACGGGAAGTGCTTCACTCATTCACAGAGATGCCAGGAATGTGCACTTGGAGCAAGCATTTCACATAGTATAAGTGGGAAGGTCAGCAGTTCTGGAATCATATGCCTGAAATGGAATTTTGTTAAATTGGGATATGTATTCCAAGGATTTAAGATATGTACAGAAAAAGAGATTGGACTCTGCATGAGGTTGAAATTTTGTGCAAATGTTGGTAGCAATTTGAATCTAATTTTGCAGATATCTTTGAGGAGGGGGTGGAATGCAATGCAAAAATACTTAGATGCTATTTATTTTTAAATGAATGGCTCACTGTTAGTGTACAAACCCATTGCTAGCTGGTATATACCAGTTATTAATTTCCAGTTCTTTGTATAGACTCTCAATTCTATAATAATCCTTAATAAAGCATCTGATATAACCTTTCACATCAGTGTGAACATCTCAAATGCACTTCATGGGATTTACAGGCCCGCTGTACAACTTACAAACTTGTAAATGGTAAATGTTGTTTCAGTGATTTATAATAAAACATCATTGCATTGCATGAAATGTTTTGTTTCATTATCGGGGTGTTTGGGTGGGTTGGTGTGAGCTTCTTTGTATCGTGCTCCCATTTAATGATATTGCAGCCACTCAATGACTAAGGGAAGGGAAGATTATTAAGGAATTTCTTTACACATAGGCTGGTGAGAATGTGGAACTCGCTGCCAGAAACTGTGGCTAAAGCAGAAAGCATCATTGCATTTATGAGAAAATTGATGCATACATAAGAGAGAAGAGAAAACAGTGGAAAAGGAGAGAGGATTAGGAGTGGAGGCTCATCTGGAGTATGAACAACAGCATGACTAGTTAGTTCGAATGGCCTGTTTCTGTCCTGTTCTATGCATCTCTAAATACTCTGTAATTGGGAAACAGTCAGGAAACTACAAATTCTTCGATATCCTGGGCTAGAGGTAGAAGAATTTGACAGTATTCCCACTTGATTGCAATCCAAACACATTAGCTAGAGATGCACATGCGGGACTTCAAGTGAAAGCAGGAATTGGCTCAGTTGTGATATCTCCTCCAGTTGAGTAGCTAACACTCACAGCAAAGGTTCACATGTGAATAATTACTGGAAGATACCAGTGGACAGTGGAAGAAACAAGTAATCCTTTGGAATATTAACTATTGTCTTCCCATTGCAGTATAAAGCCTATTACTTGGTTGAATTCATTGTTCTGGGCTAAACTACTCTTCCTGGGAATCTGTTCCAGCTGTTGTTAGCACTGTAAAATGAACACTTCTTGGTGTCTCTTCCAAACTTGCTCTTCACAACTTGCTCATGTCTCATTGCTTTGGTGCCTCCCTTATATTGTGGTGTACAAGACTCTATGTAGTAGTCCAGGTGTGACCTGACCATAGTGCTATAAAGCTTCAGCATGATGACTCCTTGGTAAGTTACCTCAACAACAACAACAACAAGATTCCATTTATAAAGCGCCTTTCACGTCAGGAGAACATCCCAAGGCGCTGAAATCACCTCAGTGATTTGGCAATGCAACCCAACAGGCTATTTGTTTTGTTTATTGTTGCTTCGCACTGTTTGGATGAGTCAACTAATGCTCTCTTTGAATTTCCCCTGTGGTAAATTCTATGCCCCCTATTTGTACTTCCAGTGTGCAGTAACCATGTCAGAGCATGATTTAGACTAAATGTCTTAAAGTGTAAGGAACTGTTCCTTCCCCAAAAAAATCTGTATTACGCATTTTGCAAACCACCAGCATAGTTTTGCTGTTAAACTATTTAATTTTAAATTATTTGCATTTGCCTATCATCTGGAAAAATAATGCTTTAATTAGGCACATCACGCCCCTGTGTTTGTAGAATTCAAGCTCTAACACTGCTTTACACAGAAATGCAACAGACACATTGTGATTGGTATGTTGGCTGTTTGTTCAAGCTGGTCTCCAGAGAATATCCTTGCTCAAGATGTTTGTTTGTCTATGGATATACACAGGAATGCCAGGAAAATACCTGCAAGGAAGATTGGTGAATATAAGGAAGTGGGGAAAGGAAGGACAAGAGGGCCACCCCATCCTTCTCTCACTTTAATCTGAAAGATGTAGGAGGCTAGAGTGGCCACCATTCTAGGTGGGCCTTCAGCCTCTCTGCCCCCACCCTCTTGAACTGCATCCCACAGTCCCTCCGTCTTGCTCCCTCCCTTGCCTCCTTTAAGACCCGTCTCAAGAATTTGTACTGCTTCCTCTTCTTCCGTGCCTTTGGTCACTCTCCTACCCCTACCCTCCCTGCCTTCCACCTCTCCTGATCCCAACCACCAGATTGGGTGCAGATCCCTGACTGTCCAATGCCTTGGGACACACTCCTGATGTAAAAGGTGCAATACAAATGCGATAAAAGGTGAAAGGTGTGGATTGCATGCAAGAGGAAAATGGCTAACCTTGTGATACCTTTCTCCAGGTTTTATACCTTCAAAGTCTGTCTCTCTCAAGGCTGATGCTGATGCCCACTCCCTTTCATTTACCAGTTTTCTGTGGATGCCATTGCTAAACACAGTTCGATAAACAATTTTTTTTTGAGATTTTGAGAACAAGACACCACTAAGTACAACAAGTCACATACCTTGATGGAATCAGATCCAAAGTTGTATGTAGTCGGGCCTGTTTCAGCAAGTTCCCTCTACATATATAGCCAAGCAAAGGATTTCATTTAAATAAATACTTGTTCTGTGCACTGCAGAGTAATCCATCGTTAAATCATATACTTTTTTTTAAAAAAGCACAACATGTAAGCAAGGCTGTTCAATGTAATTACCTGCATTGCCATAAAAATAACATGTGAGAAAATTGTTGTAGCTTACTTTATTTAAAATATTTATATGCTGTAATATGCAGGAACAAGCTGATACATTGCCAATTCATGCTAAAACTTCAATACATGCTAAGGTAATTAGATCATAACATATAGCGCCCCTGGTGTTACCATTTGATGTTTCTGTCCCCTGTTGCTAAGTAAATCATGCCATAAATGGTCTTCATTCTCTCACTAAATGCAATGGGTGTGATGTTTGGAATAACACACATTTGGTTATTGTGGTAACATTTATTATTTTTACCTAAATGGATTTGG